CTCTTTCCTTACTGAACCCAGCACACAGACTAATTCAGGTTTTGCTTAAAAACAAAGCCAGGGAGAGCCCCTGAATGCTGTGTTTAGTAAGGACTGTCACATGTCCTCGTGGACCACCCCTCTGCTTCAAAGTGAACATAGACTTGCACGTTAGCTCAAGTATGTAGGTGTGAAAGCAGATAAAAATCTCTGGCCTTTTAGAGGCCAGTCATCAGAAATCCAGCTGAACTACAATTGCTACAGCTCCCCAGAGGAATGCTCCTCTCACTGGGTTAGTTCTGTGCCTCGTTGAGATGATGTCCTCCTGACAGCAGCCTAAAGTAGATGCCTTGGGAAGAGTATAAGACCAGGGCAAGCACGTATGAGTCTTTTCCTTAATGCCCTATAAACTGCCATCATTTTCAACTCAGGAATTTTCCTGAGTTGTGCATAGTTTTTCTTTAATTAGCGGCATTTGTGTATCTATCTTCCATGAATGTTTCCAGTTTCCTTCTGAACCCATGCAGATTTTTAGCATCTGCAATATCCTTCATCTGGGGTCCCACAGCCTCAATGACCTGCTGTGTGAAGAATCATCTCTTTTCCTTTATTTTGAAACTGGAACCTGATTTTTGATGAAAAGAGATGACTTTTTAATCAATTATTAGTTAGTGCATTGTTTGTCTGTATGAACAAAAAGTCCAAAATAAAGCAGAATATTTAGGGATTCTTTACCCACATTATTTTTCAACTGAGCGGAAAGTATTTTTGCACTAATTTGAATTTGAATTCTTATCTAAGTCCAAGATGACAAAATGCTTGAAAAGCAAAACCTATTGTGCGTAGAAACCAATTTTTAATGCAGTTTATATTCACAATGTGAACAGAAATAGCCAACTAAGGGGGTCTTTGAGAGTTCGCCCAGTAGTATTTGTTGGATAATTTATTGGTTGAGTTCAGTTCACATTGTATGAAATGTTATTAGCTGGACAGGTCTTGCTGTGTGTGAGAACAGACCTTGGTTTCACAATACTTTTTTAAACACATATAACATCTTTATCAGTCCTCCAGTTTCTACAGTTACATATTAGGAGGAATTTGCAGAGTGTTTTCTGCAGTGAGTCTGTGGATTTATAACTTTCTTCCTTAGGTGGGAAGGGGTTGGGACCTACCAGCAGCTGGGCTGGGATGGAAGGCTGTCTCCTAGGGTTGCAGGGGGCCACAGGAGTGTTGTGGGGTTTAATATTCCAGTGAGTGTCCAAAAGTGATTACAGTTTGGGAATCCTGTGCTGCATTTTACAGGGGTAGTCAGTATTTGAGTCATGGGTGAGAAACACATAGCAATGCCATCTTCCACTAAATGCTCTGCTCGCTCTCCCAACAATATCCCAAGTGATAGAGACTGCCAGCCCTTTTTTTGTATTCTTTTCATCCCATTTTTGTTTTGTAGAGGGCCTGCATAGACTTCGCCATAAGTGCCAAGCCACTGACCCGCTACATGCCTCAGAACAAGCAATCCTTTCAGTACAAGATGTGGAAATTTGTGGTGTCCCCTCCCTTTGAGTATTTTATCATGGTCATGATTGCACTCAATACCATTGTCCTAATGATGAAGGTTAGTGGGCTGTTACTGAATCTTTGCGATTTCGGGCTAGTAAATGCGGTGTTTGCTGGAGAGGCTTTGTACTCTCCACCTGAGAGCTGGGGGGGATCGGCAAGAGCAATCGCCACTTCTCACCTGCCTGGTGTCATTTATAGAGGCCTTGTGGGATTCCTTCAGTCCCCAAAAGGACGTGGTTTAGTTGAAATGAGATACTGCGAACAGTATTCCCCAGCATGGTCCTGATGTGGCTGGTACCCCTGTCAGCATATGGCCAGTGGGATGGGAACTGGGCTCTGCAGGTCTGGAGCTCCTGGCTTCCTGATGTGGAGCAGGGTCACTTCTTGGGGCTGTTTGACATCCAGACATTCCAGGAAAAGTACTCAAATTTGCAGCAGTGCCAAGCTTCTGGAACATGATCCACGGTGCCTAAGAGATGCAGATAGCTGGATATTGTGGATGAACTCCCCTCCTATCCTTCACAGTCAAGGGGTCACCATATTCTTAGGGTCTGCTGGAATGAAATACAGTTCTGCACTTGTCCTCTGGTTTTGAAAATGCCCTTCCTCCCTCCTGATCCATGCTCTGCTTACAGGGAGACATACACCAGCAACAGTCTCCCCATCCTGGGTGTATCCCCAGCCCCATTAAGACTGCACATGGGCAATGGTGTGCTTCTGGAGTGGCGTGTATAACTATGTTGTAACCCCAAGTCTTGCCTGAAGTGAGCACAAAGTCACTAAAATGGGCAAGAGTCTTGCAGTCAGGCAAGTCAGCTGGGAAGGTTTTATTCTGTAAGTGATCTTCCAGTAACGGCCTTTCTTCCATCCTGGTTTAGTTCTATGATGCTCCAGAAGCGTATGAAGAAATGTTGAAATGCCTGAATATTGTGTTTACATCCATGTTTTCAATGGAATGTGTGCTGAAGATCATTGCCTTTGGTGTGCTGGTATGTGCCTTCCTCGTTTACTTTCAACTGTTTCCTCCCTACATAAAGTGTTTGTATTTCATGATGCGCATTTAAAAACAAGCAAGCAAAAAAAAGCTTGTGTTGAAAAAAAAAAAAAATAACCCCTGGATCCCTCTATCCCCCTTGTGTTTCTATTTGGCAGAATTATTTCCGAGATGCCTGGAATGTCTTTGATTTTGTAACGGTGTTGGGAAGTATTACTGATATTTTAGTAACAGAGATTGCGGTAAGTACAGTTTGCTCAACTTGCTTCATTTACCAACAAAGCTGTGCCCTGTCAAGGCACTGCACCTTCTCCCTACCAGCCTGATTCCCTAGAGCTGCCTCTGGGACTCATCGTGTGATGATGTCCTTGGGTGACCTGGCAGCCTGTTTCCGTTAGCTCTGCTCTTTTCCTGGAGATGATCACGGCTGTCTGCCCCAAAGAGTTTCATGCAAAGAGCTGTGATGAGAACGACAGTGCTAGTGACTCTGCCAGGAAACAACGTCTTTTTCTCGTTCAGCAAACAACGCTAACCCCGAGCCGTTTTTGCCTATTAATGGAAAAATCCTGTTGAATTTAATAGAGGGAAAAGATCAAAAGGATTCTGGTGAAGACTGCTGTTTTGTAGTGTGAGGTGCTTCGCAGGGCACACACATATGTCTGTCCCTTGGGGCTCTGACCCAATCTTGGTCACGGGGCAGAGTGAAGGCAATAAGGAGGGAGGTGATGGGAATGTAGAAACAGCCAGAAACTCATTAGCCTGCACAGCCTGGGTTGGGGGAACATGGTGCATTTCTGTTATGCACACAAAAGATTTGCAGGGCAATTATGAAAACAAAGAAACAAGCAAACAACTTTACAGTGACTGCTCTCCCCCTGCTAATGAGTCCTGTAGATTACGAGAAGTGTATAAACTTGCCATTAAATTCTAGAGGATTTTTCCATAAGGGCAGCAAATGTCTGACTCAAGCCTTGACAGCCTGATATTATCCAATTTATAAATTGCTCCTTTTCCAATGCATGTTTTAGCTGATGATGCTGTATCTGTATGTGATGAATTTGAACTTTACCATAATTTTTTTCTCAGTCCCTGGGATTTGCTTACAGATTTGTTCTGTGTGTGCTAAGTACTATGCTCTCCAGACTTCTTTACAGGACATTCAGCTGGTGGTGAAGACCATATTAACATTTCTAACAAAGTGCATTATTACCTAACCTCCTCAGTACCAAAAAAGCACGCAGAACCTCAAAGTTTTACTCCCTGCACAGATGATGTTCATTGAACTGTTGTTGAATCCTATCTCTTAGACTTTGGATTACCTCTTGTTTTCAATGCACGGCTTACGGCCAGGGTAAAGCCACTCAGATCAAACACACGCTCTGCCTACCACTTTCTGAGTGCTTAGGAGATTTACTGCACTGTGGGCAGGTACTGGGCACTTCCCTCCATTCGCTCCATGCTGGGAGACACTTTCTTGCCAAACTCAGGCACGCAAACCTTTGCCTTGGTTTGGAGATTTGTGAAAACATTTTCAAGTCGGCCACAGAGATTGATGCTTCTCTTCTACCCCTCCTTCAACCACTTTTACTGGGAAGAAGCAGCACAGCCAACTCACAGGTGATAAGGGAGCCTCTGGTCTCTCAGAGGTTGCTGTCTTCTTTGGGAAGGTGTCTTCTTCACAACACCAAGCCCACACACCTCTTACTGAAATCCTCCTTTGTACAGCTATTTTGCAGGCAGAGAGCAGCTACTGGTGTTGCCCATTCCCTGCTTGGCTGGCAGCGGTCCCTGCGTGGTTAGCAAGCCATCGCCTCTCCCTCCAGCTCCCACAGGGGTGGCCCAGCCTTGGCAAGGGTGTCTGGCACCTGGGGAATTGGCTATGGACTGATCAGGTTGGGCAGGGATACGTCACTGGATTTAAGACAAAGCCCCAGCACCTCAGGGGCTGTATGTGCATGTGCTCAGATTTTTGGAAGCAGCTGCTGTCCCTTGGCACTACTGGCCAACTGGTCGGGGTAGGAGAGGTAGTGTGTAGGCAGGAGTTTCTCATCCCTCTCCTGATCTTTGGGCTGGAGAGTAACTGTGCTCCCAAACACCCTCCTGTGAGTTGTCAGACACTGATGCAGTAACCTCAAGGGTGCTGAGACAGCATCACCCTTCCACTCTGCAGTAGTTTCTCTGGTTTCCAGCACCAAAGATAGCAGCAATTCGGGGATGCCTTTGAAGAGTAGTATGATTTACCTCTAAAACCAGTCAGTAAGCTCCAATAGGGTTAAGGTGCTAAGGATCTATACAGCTTTCCATTATCCTCCCATGTGGTAATGGAGAGGCTTTTGGTTTATGAGTAACTAGATCTGTTAAGTCAAACCTTAGAGAGGACTTTCTCCATGTAGTTCAACAGCTTCCTCTGGCAGTGTGTCCAATACAAAGCTGCTCACAGACACGTCTTTCATAAAAAAGCTCTATGTCCCCCAGTCCAGCCCCTGACATCTAGGTCCTCTGTCTCTGTCCACAGACCTGTTTGAGCTTTGCTCTCTCTCAGTCTTCCCCTTCTGCAGCATTTCTGTGTAGCCATCGTGTCTCCTTTCCACATGCTTTCCTCTACAAACAGAGAGTGCCCAGAGGCACCACCCCCGCGACCTTCCTGCTAGACTTGTTTTCCAGAAATTCTTCCATACAGCTCCTCTCTGATCTCTCTCCAGCCCGTGCCCATCTGCAGCAGCACTCTTCCGCACGGAACGGCTTTTGTAGCCACCGGCATAGGCTTCCTCAGCTGCACACATCCGTCCCTCAGCCTCGCGCAGGGACGATGCGCTGAGAGTTCAAAGGCATCGTGCACAGCTTGGTGAAGAGCTGTTAGGAGCTTAGTTTGCTTAAGGGTGATGGTGATGCACAGGTCTCAGTCACCGCTTAATCACATGAGTGGGAGTTCGCAATGACACCCCAAAAATTACGTTTATAGCAGAACTCTTAATGGCAGCAAATAATGGCAGCTCTCAGGGTGCCTTTCATGGAGCAGTTCATTCTGCTTCACACAGTGGCATGTGGTGGAGGTGATCTTGTACCAGGCTCCCTACTGCCACGACAAGCCTTCCTCCCCTTGCAGTCCTCAGGACAGCCTGTGGGATGCAGGGTGGAAAACAAGCAGAAGGATCCAGCACTCTGCTCCGGTCCCTCTTTGTTGGCTCCACAAGAGGTTGCAGCACATGTTATTCTGACACATCAGGGGAAACCCAAGGGGTCCCAAACTGCCTGGGGAACTGTTTTGCTGCCTGCAAAGTGCCACAATGCAGGCACATCCTGGCAGAGTTACACTTGAAACCATCTTTGTCACATACAACCTTCTATTTTGTTTAACTGGAGTTGCACCAAAGTAATCTAAATTCTTCTGATGTTTAGAACCAATTAATAAAATTGTAGGAAAGGGCTGAAAAACCTGGTGCAGTGATAGCGAGCATGCTGTTTGCGAAGGCGGAGGTGAGGACCAGTGCCCTGTCTACAGAGGACAGGTCAGGCATGTGGCCCAAGTCTTCAACCCCACTGCCTCTGCCCAACACTCTTCGCCCTTTGTATTTCCCAGGAGGGTAAAGTAGTAAGAAGGCTCGGGACGAATGTCCACTCTGCACAAAACACCACAGAGAATGCTGAACCTCACTTCAACTTACTGCCTCGGTGCATGAAGGGGGGTGCAGCATCTCTCTGCACCACGTTGCAGAGCTGAGAGTAACCAAAGAGGAGAAACAGGTCTGGACTCGTCACAACTCGGAGCTGTGTCCGCAGCGGAGGATGCTCCCTTCTCTATTTGCCTTCCTTGGCTGATGGGCAGCTGCGGGGACAGTTGGGTGGCAGCCCCTTTTAGCCCTTCCCTGTGCACTCAACCCATTCACGCAGGAGGGTTTCTCAGGCTGAGGAGCCCAGGTGAGAGCCACAGCGTGAACCCGACTGTCAGCCTGCATCTCTCCCCAAAGCAGCCACCCCTGAAGTCCCGCAGCTCCCTGGGGAGAGGGGATGAATTCCAGGTGTGGCTTTGAGATCAGGCTCACAAATAGCTGCAGGAGCAGCACTGTTCTCCATGGTGATATTTTCCAGCTCTAAGTTCTTTCCAAAGTAAATAAACCTGCTCACCTGGGTGGTCTCATCTTGAGAGACTCGGCCTCCACCAGCCTTGCTGCATCGGTACTTTTAACCCACTGAAAAGTAAAGATAAAAGGAAAAGAAATGTGTTGATTAATTGTTTTATTTTAATTTTTTAGTCATGTCATGTGTAATTTACTTTGTGAATGGAATATATATATTTTTTTATTTCCTTAGGCAAAAACACGTATGTCAGTTTTTTTACCTTCTTAGTAACTGAGGTAAAATAGGTGACATTAAGGAGAAGGTGTCCTCACGGGCACGGGCCTCAGGAGGCCACATGGGTGTATGGCAAACTGACATCTATTTCTATGCCTGGAAATATAAAAAACATACTGAGAAGTGTTTGTGAATTGTCTCCCAATTTGCATTACAAAACGAAATGCAAATAACTACTGCACTGTCTGTGTTACCTTTAGGATCTCAATATCTGTTTTGGTTTGAAGCATTTTTTATTTATATAATTATCATAAAATAACACCCCCAAAAGCCCAACAGTTTTTTTTCCAGTGAAATTTTCAAAGTTTCCTTTTTTGCTTGTCCTGATTACTCATTTTCTCTTTTGTTTCCTGTTTTGTTCTTTATTTTCCTTATCTACCTGCTGAATCACGCCATCCAATCAACATACAATGCGAAAACCATGTCTCCGTCTGTATGTTGTGCACCTGCTGCTCAAAAAACTAAATTTGTAAATAATCTTGCAAATATCCATCCATGAAAACATCACATATAGGACACGGTTGGTTTCATTGAATTTAAACACTTATTTAAATTCTCTGCTTTTATTTTCCTCTCGTTTTTCTTTAATTTAATTCGTTTTGATGAGATTTCCGATTGCACTGGTGAAAAAGCCTCACTGCAGCGTGCCTCAAAACTGGCTTCTGTTCTGCATCTTCTTCCCCTTGGCTAATTGGTGACATGAAGCAAATGCAGTTACCAATAGCCTGTTCTCTGCTGTTTGTTACACCTGACAATGGTAAAGGGGAGACTGACACTTGCTTTATTTTGGTGGAAAATTGAATGAGAATAGAAGGGAAGGATGCTTCTGGATGACCTGGCCTAGAGAAGATTGGCATGCCTGGGAAACCCTTCATTTTGTAAGTGGTGGTACCAAATTCAGTTTTCAGAAAGCGGTTTTGTTTTCTGACGGTGAGATGCGTTGAGCTTTCTGCAAAGGGGAGCAGTACATTGAAGAGGACTGCCTTACAGCTATTTTAAGCCCATGGTTTACACTGTATTGTAAGGCAAAAAAATTGTTGAAGTGAGTACAGACTTGCTTCCCTCAGATCAAAAGAGAAGTTGTACGAAAGAGTGATTTTTATTCAATTTCTGTATTCATCATATAGAAGCATTTTGCCACCACAGTGGACACCGAGTCCCTGGATGCAAAAGTAAACATCTTAAGTAAAACGCATAAGCCATGTTATGAACAGGGCTGAAAAGTACTGGGAACCAGATTCAACTGGGAATTTAGTGCCTGATTCCGAAGATGCCTTTGGAAATACTGGCCTTTGTCTTTGGAAATCATAAATGAAGCAAAAGAGGATGAATAAAGAAAAATACAATCTAAAATATATATATATTCTTCCATTCTTAATTGTCTTGACTATGGTTAATAACACAAATGAGACCATAAGCTTGCCAAAAATATTTACTTGGCCACCTGACAACAGCTCTTGGATCTGTGTTAACATCTGGACTTCCTGTTGCACAGTTGCTGTTAAGAAACAAATCAGAGTGAATCTTCATGCCAGACTGCAGATAAGCTCCACACACGCTTCACGAGGGTCAGGGTAGGGAATTAGGAAGCAGCAAAGAAGGAGATGACAACGTGTAAGTTAAGAGTTTGCCTAGTGCGATCTGAGAAGGGAATCCTCTGCGTGTGCTGCAGTGGCTGGAACCATTACAGATGTGTGGGAGCTGTGAGGATGTCTCCAGAGACTTCGCCATCTGCATCCCTGGCCCAGGCAGCACAGAGAAGTGCTCTGGCATCAGCTGTGCACATGAAAATATACTGGGGGAAAAAGAAAAATCAGCTTATCTCCAAATTTTGGCCTTGTTGCTGTCCATGTTAAAGATTCAAATGCTCATCCTGATGTTTGTTAGGACTGCCGTCTCCAAAGCCACCTATGCAGAGCCAGTTAGATCTTTGGAGTACCAAGTTGTCCTCCAGAGCTGTCTTCTTCCTTCTGCTGCTGACGACGGGAGCCTACAGTGACTGCAGCAGAAGCACCCAAGTTGAAATGTAGTTCAGGAGACCTCTGGGCATCACACACACAAAAAAATTACACGTGTTCCTGGAACAGGATGAAAGGACATGACATGATGTGCCTCTACTGGCAGAGTCCCCACGACACAGACAAGTGTGGCAAAAATCTTCAGCCTCTTAAAATCAGCAAGGATTTTCCCCAAGCTTCAGAGGAAGCCAAGACTCCATGCAAGATTCAGAAACTCTTCTTCAGTACTGGCAATGCCACGGACATGTAAGTGGGAACCCAACCATTCCCTTGACAGTAGTTACTTAGCAGAACAGGTGAATTCTTGTTGATGCCACATGAAGAGAACTGCCAAAGCTTCCTGAGTGATCCCATTCTCTGCTTGCTCAGATTCCTCTTCCCACAGCTCTTTGCAACTTTGGTTGAGCCCTTTGTTTTGAGGACAGAAACCTAAAGTTTCAAGTCTGAGGGGTGGTTCTGCTACTGGGCTGCAGGAAGAAGCAGGGATGAGCAGCTCAGCTTCTGCCAGATTTATTAACGGCGGCATAACGTAACCTCCTTCACTAAATCCTGCAGAGCATGTCCAGCCATGGCATGAAAACCTCATATTCCCATTGCAGGTTTAAAAATCTGAAAACACTAAATCCACTGAAACATAGCTTTGTGCTAGCCACTGTGAAGAAAATTAACTCTATCCCAACTAAAACCAGCACCACTTTGCCACTGCTGTACAGGATGGAGCTCATCCTGCATCCCTGTGAACAGTGGGCACAGCTCCTGTGTTCGGGAGGAAGCCACTCTGCTGCTGAATATGCTGGACCAACAGATCCTGACAATCGCTGTGCACCTTATTCTTCATGGCTTTTCTACTTTTCAGTATGGAAAACACACTAAGAAAGGGTAAAAGATCAGGCTGCCCATGGTGGGACAGCAGTCAAGGCCAGTTTTTTATCCGTGATATCTGTCCTCCATCCTGCTTTGCAGTTTGCTCCAAGGATGCATCACTCGGCTGAGCTTTGGTCTCACTTTGATTGTGAGAAGCAGAGGCTGGGTGCCTTCAGTGCCCAGGCTCTCTCTTTTAGGAAAATAATGACAGGCTAGGGGGAAACGTCTTTCAAACATAATTTGCTAGTCCGCAGGTGGATCATAAAATCAAAGTTCTGGTGCCTTTTGTGAGCACTGGTCAGACTTTAGCTTCTGTGCAACAGAAAATCAAATATAAACCTGGAAGAAAAGACCTTGATAAGCCAGAAGATGGTCATATGTGTGTCATGTTACAGAGGTGGCTAAGTGGCAGGAGAATCGATACAAAACACCCCTATACACAAGAAATATCGCAGTGTGGAGTTTCCCCTTTAACTGCATGCAATCCTAATACCTGCCTGGACAGTCGAGGTGTCGAAGGACAGGTTTTCTGTGCGGTGTGCTGAGGGTTACACACGCAGAGCCCTTCCATCCTTCACAAGCGTGTGTAATTTTGCCTCCCTACGAACATCGCAGAGAGCGGTCCTTCGAACGGTCTGCGAATGTTGGTGACGCTGGATTTTCCTGGGTTGTAATTCCCCGTGGAGCTGAGGCTTTTGCTGCAGTTTAGGAAACGGCAGTGTGTGAGTCAAACAGGGAGGGTTTGGAGCTGGGGGGAAAAAAAATGTTATGGACTGTTTGTCCCTCCAAATCCCAGGGAGTTGGGGGTCATAGACATAACTGCACAGGTTGAGCCCCATTTCATACTGCATGTGCACAGGGATAGCCTGTGATAAGTGTGACCTTGCAGTCAGCACAGACCAAAGCTGATGCTAAGCATCTTGTCAGCTGTGATGTCCGAGATTAGAACAAAGTCTGAGCAAAACAATGTTCTTGCTGATAAGCTGCAGTAACGTGGGAAGAGGAAGGTAAGGCAGGGAGATGGATCCTGCAGACGCTGCGGGTGCTCCCTGGACGAGCGCTAAGCTTGTGCACAGGAAAGATCTGTCTTGAGCATTGCTCTGAGGGTAATAATTCGTCAGGCTTGCAGGCCTGATGCCCAAGTGCTGTGAACTTTACAGACAAGGTCTGATCCAGTTCCTGCTGGTGGGGAGACTTTGTGATTAAAGCGGGCTCTGGGTTAGACCTCTGCCCTGCCCCGAAACCTGCTCTGCAGCGGTACATCAGCCTGCACCGCAGCCAGCACAGGGAGCAGCCCGCTAAGGACCAGACTGCCACAGTCCAGCGCTGCCCCCCGGGTCTTACATGGCCCTTACCTGCTAAGGTGAGTTCAGCCAGTGTTTTGTCAAGAGAAGGTAGGCGATGTGAAAAATAAAACAGAAAGTAAATGCTAAGAGACAAGCGCTCCGTTTTGAGCACCTGTTTTACTGACCTTGAACAACCCAGGGGAATCCTCGCTTGTGCTTTGCCTGCCAGAGCTGCTCTCGGTTGCTGACTTGAACGAGCTCAGTGTTGTCTGCTCTTTCATTGAACATACCTGTGCTTTTCTCTTTTCTTTTTATTTGAGGATCGAGTCTGATATTCGGTCTGTGCCTAATTCTAAGCTGCTTGCGTTTTAACATGAGAGAAACCGAGTGCATGCCTGAGACTGATTTCTTGAACTCTTTGATGGGATTGGTGGAATGCAATGCTAATGGCTCCAAAACTGAGCTGGCATTTAAGTAAATGAATAGATCCAACAAGCCCCCCAAATTCAGCATGAGCTCTGTAGCCAAATGAGCAAGAAACGTGGGTCAGTTCAATATGACTGGGTGTCTTCTGGTAAAACAATAATACAGGGGAAAGACTATTTTTGCTCATCTTTACCAACTAGAGCTCCTTATGAGTATATTTTCCATTCCACTGCTTGATAGTTTAAAGTGGGATGCTTTCTCTCTTTAGCTAACTCAGTCAAATAAGTGGCTGTGAATTCACAAATAAGTGAATTGGAATCAGCATGGAAAGGGGGGAATATTTTTCATCTCCTTAAAATAGGAGGGCAAGAGGGATCTGGCTTTTGCATGTTTTGTTTTGGAAAGAACCCTCTCTAGATTAGCTCATTGGGGCCAAGAAACCTCCTTTCCCTGAAGAAAAAAAAAAAAAAAGGGATGTGGGGTGGGAAGAATCATTCAAAACAAATGGAAATCAGAATTTCCAGCAGTTCTTTGATCCACCTGCAAAGGCACATTTAATAATAATTTTAAAACTCAGCAGGTTCCTAAGGCACCCTCCTGCTGTTGAACGCTCAACCTCCCCAATTGATTTGCTGCCATTGATCCATCTTCCAAACAGTCTTGCTGGTGCCATTTCTCCTTGAGGAGCCGGTCCAGTCACATGTTATATTAACATTTAGAACCTCCAGGTTAGAAAACATCCTCATTCTTTCAAGGATGTTTTAACCTTCATTGGACAATGCCTTTCTTTGTTATGGTAGAGGTGATATACACAGTCCCTTGGAACTGTCTTGGCCTAAGTTCAATTCGTTGTAGAAAGCGAGCTGACCAAGACTTCAAAACAACCTCATTCTTTACAAAATGATAATATGGCACCATTGCCTCTCCCTGAGTCTTTAGGGGGAAAAAATCTGTCTTACTCAAAGAAAACAAGACCTCCATGGACAGCGTGAAAGGGCCTTTTCCATTTTTTATCATTGACCCAGTAGCAGAGGGGAGGGCTCTTGTGGAGAGGGATTTTCTCATACTTGCTGCATGTGGAGTGATCTGCACTGACGAATGTTTCTTTTGGAAGGTTTTCTGGTGGCCGATTTGCTGCTTAGATCGTGAAGCTGGTAATTTTAATTTCTTTTTTGCGGGCTGTGGTTTCTAATCGCGTTAATTTCTGAAGGACACAAAACCTTTACTTTCCGCAGGACAACTTCATCAACCTCAGCTTCCTGCGTCTCTTCAGGGCAGCGAGACTTATCAAGCTCCTTCGCCAGGGTTACACTATCCGCATCTTGCTCTGGACGTTTGTGCAGTCTTTCAAGGTGAGTGTTAGGCAGGGAAGAGGCGCGGGGAGGTGGTAACGCTCGGCACGTCTGTAGCATCCTCCGTTGAGTATCAGAGAGCTTCCCCTTGCCAAGGGAACGGCCTCTTTGCACCTCTACAGAGCAATTACATGAATATTAATTCTGCAGAAAAGCGAACTGATTTGTGCTGAACGTCCCCTGGACGCCGCGGGTGCTAAGCATTTTGGAAGATGAGTCTGAAAGCCGGACGGCTACTGATGCAGGCTCACAGCAAGCGTGCAGTGCTCAGGTTGCCCTTGAAACTACCGCAAAATCCCTATGGTAAAGTCTTGAGACTCGGGTATTTGCATAAGGAAACGGTAGTCTGACTAATACGTGCCTCCGTGCCTGCTATTTGTCTCAGTAAGTGTAAAGTTAAATTGCCTTCACCAGGTTTCAGTCTTGGTAGAATCTGATAGAGGCGAAACGCAAACCATTGCATTTTGGTAATGCAGTCTGGGAGGCTGTATAGCGCAGGGCTGTGTTTTTATGACATGGAGGATTACAAAAATGAGCTTTTGTTGAGACAGTTGCTTTGCCTGTTTTCCTTTACCCTTGCCCTTCCCTCCCAGCAAGCCTCAGCATCGTGGCAGCTGATGCGTTGTGGCACGGAGTGACTGGCCACAGGAGCTGGATATGGCACTTCTGAAATAAGTGATCCTCAAACAACTGCCTTACCGCAGTTTAGTTCTCAGTCCGTGCTTAGCTTCGAGATAGCTGTTTTTCAGCTCTAGATAAGAGCCTGCATGCCCCAAAGCTGGTTATTCCTAACAGCTCTCAGCTGGTTTGCAGCGCATTGCATGTGGCGGATGGCTCAGCAAGCATGGGGACCGAACCTCTGCCTTTGCACAGGGTCTCGCCGCCTTCTGGGCTGAGCTCTGAGGTCTGGAGGTGATAGCTTATGTCCTGGGAGCTGTCGCAAGCTCAGGAAACTTGTCTGCAGGTCAGTGCAATGTCAGGGTGCTTCCTGGAAGGTGTTATGGTGGCAACTGGTATTTAAGGACACGTAGCGCGGTGGGATGCAGAGCAACCCGTTTAGCTGCACTTTCAAGTACATCATGGTGTTTGAGTCAAAAGAATGCAGAGAGGTAATTTTAGGTGATAAAACTGGGGAGGGTGTGCTCTCTCCAAAAATGGAAAAGTTTTAAGAGAAGAAAAGCATTTCTCTCTGGCAGTTGGAGAGAGATGCTGGATGCTGCCCACGCCAGGCTGGGAGTGCTGGCCAGCCCTGTGCCAGCTGCGAGACAACCAGGATGGAGAACTGGTGTCAGCAGAGTGTGAATGTGGCTATTGCTCTGCACTGGAGCTGGTCAATAGGGAGGTTTCTAGTAGCCTTTTAGACTATAGAGGCAAGATGGGAACATAGCGATGGACTACAGGGGCAAGGAGGGTGGAGATGGGAAAGTAGGGATTGCTTCTTTCTACAAGCAACCTGGAGAACTACTGGCATCCACTCTGTGATCCCATGGCCAGGGGTGGGAGAGAGTGTTGTGTTACACTGTCCATCCCTTTGGGAGACACCGCACAGGCAGCTGCTGCTCTTGCATTCAGCTTCTGTGTTATGCTGTCACCCAGTCATCAAGCAGCTAATGGAAAGGGACTGTGATTTGGGGGTGCCTTAGATTTGTATGGACATATTTTCCTTGAGGGTGGATGGAGGTGGTGTTGCTGCTTCTCTTACCTTGTAACTCATGAGGGATCCTGCAGCCAGGAGAGCCTCTCTGAGAGGCTGAGATGTGGGGTCTGCAGGTATAGGTTGTTGCCACTCACTGGGCTGTGTAGTTTTGGCTGGATCTTGGGAGAGGGGCTCAGCCAAGGCCCTTTTCACTACAATCCCAACCCTTTCCAAGGTGTGTGTGCAGAGTGCTGCCATGAAGCAGAGCTGGGACAGTTCCCAGGCTGTGATGGGAGCTGCTTGGCCACCTCTCCCTATCCCTGAGCTTTCAGTCCTTGTCCCTTGTGCAGAGGTGTCTGGGAGAAACTGCATCAGCCCTTTGTTCCGTGTTTCCTACTGGGCTCCCTGTGGGCTGCACAACTCCCCTCCTGCTCCGAGCATCTCACAGTCTAGCCCTAGCACTTCTCATTTTTTTTTCAACTATTACTAATTAAGAGGCATTAATTACCCATTTGTTTAGCCTGAGTGGAAAGTAGCTATTACTCCCATCTTGGCTGACATAATTACATTGTAGCTTTCACTGATTCCTTGCTAAAACTCAGAATCTATTTGTCCTCCTGGGATTGCAATCTGTGCCTCTTTCAGAGCAGGAGCTTGTCTCTTGGATGTATGGGGTTTTTTTTTTCCTTGTATTAAATTTACAGCAAGGTCGTTAAAAATTAATGTTGGTGCAATTATGCATAGAAAGTGCCAGTGCCTGCCGGTGGCTCCAGTGCTCGCTGCAGAGCTGCTTACTGTGTTCCCAGCTTACTGCTTATCTGCTTGCAAGGGTGTGTAGCAGGCCCTTGGAAAGCCCAGACTGTTTGTGATCGATGAATACCTGGCTCCAGGGGTTTGTCTTCTGAAGGCTGACAGAATTGTTCATATTCTCTTCCCAGTTCCTTCCTCTGAAGGACAAATGCCACAAAACACAGTGCTGCCCAGGAATTAAATGCTCCCAGCTGATGCATTTGCTGTCATTAATACCGCCTTCTCCTTTTCCACAGGCCTTGCCTTATGTGTGTCTCCTCATTGCAATGCTTTTCTTCATCTATGCCATTATTGGCATGCAGGTAAAATTTAATACTTTAATACTGATGTAAGTAGCTGGTTCAGGGTACAAATGGGTTATTGCCAGTGCAGCAAAATCAACACCTGACTTACCGAACTTTTGCTTTGTCCCGTCAGGTAAATTAGAAGTGAAAACAAGGCCACTTTTTCTACCCTTTTTGCCAGGTCTCGTGTTGATTGTGGCCCTGGATGTACAGATATTTCGGGGAGAGCGTGGGCAGGCACGCTGGGTGACGAGCCTGTGGCACAGCATCTCCGGAGGTGGCGGTGGGCAGCCATGTCTCCCGTGGGCAGAGCGCGTCCCTGCCTCTGGTACAGGCACGTCAGGAGGCTGAGAGCAGGGAACAGCTCAGGCATTGCACATTTCTGAAAAGAAACAGGTTTCTTGGCCTGGGATGGAGCTGAACTGTGGTGTTGGAAAGGGTCTGTGTGAAGACGAGGCACATTAAACTGACTTTTTTCCCCATTTGTTCTCCACAACACATTTTTACCTCCATCTTCAGCACAGAAATTATTCTAGCTCTTGAGATCCCTTGAACCGGGACAAATTATTCTCCTGCCTTTTCTCCCAACTCCACTTGATCTACCTTTGCTGACAACATCCACACGAGGATGCATTTGGCCTGAATCGCTTGTTTTCTGTGGCAGGTATTTGGAAACATTGCACTAGATGATGAAACCTCCATTAATCGGCACAATAACTTCCGCACCTTCCTCCAGGCCCTGATGCTTCTGTTCAGGTAAGTAGAGTATAAAATACCGTAAGGCTTACATGTGAGCAATAAATAAGTCCTTGTTTTCTCATATGCCAGTTTAGCTGCTGAGACTTAGGCATCCTCTAAGGAAGGTATTTGGAGTAAAGCATCCGTTCCTGCTCCCTCCTCCTCGGCATTAAGGGTTGGCCTGGCACAGCTCTGAATATGACAGATCTGATTCCACACACCAGCATCTCCGCAAAGTGACACCCAGCACTGTGACACCCCACGTCAATTCAGGCAGAAGCTTAATATGACAGAAACCCCCTGGTTTAACTGATCAATGTGCTTCCTGTCATGAAGATGACTTTTTTTTTAAGTGAGAATTCCTTTAATTGGTCATTTTTGCATTACCCACAAGTTAACACTTCATGCATCAATGTTAACTCTGCATCAGAGTGAAAGTGTTTCCATCTGGGTTCATTCTGCCTGGAAATGAAGCGTTTTCAAATGAAGACAAAAAAAATCAATGAAATGACAGATTTTCATTTTCAGACCTGGAATAAATGAAGTGCAGGCCCTGCTCCAAATCGGGGCAGCTTGGGGAAGATTTTACTTATCTGGACATGTGCTGCAGAGACGCAGCGGTTAATAACTGCTCTGGCCCCACAAGCGCCTGCCAGCCGTGCCGAGCCTCGGTTCGTGGATTATGCAGCGCTTGTAACTGGATATCCAGCCTGGGATTTGGTTTGCATAGTTTCTGTGAAGCCAGACGGAAATGAAATTAGCCCTTCTAGCGCAGTATAATCACTCGACTTAAAACTCAGAATTTTAATAAAACCGGATGATTATTCAGTCCTGTGTCCAGACCTCTTGGTCATTTCCAGACCCATGCAGCAGCTGCACTGGGACAGAGTGGGCAGAGGCAGCAGGACTGCGATGGGGGAGTGGGTTTCTGCTCAAGGGAATGGGGCTGCAGGATGCAATGCCATCAGTGGGGGAATCTGTTGTACAATTCGGAGTAGCCTGGAACCTATTTCAGTTTACACTGAGCAGCAAGGTTTCTCAAAAACCAGGAGGAAGGTTTATGAGCTGGCTCTGTGTACGAATTGGCATGGCTGTGAACAACGCTGCAACAAGATGGGCTGCTCATGGCAATGTGGGTGCCCCTAAAAGCATCTGAGTGTGGTGCAGCAATTACAGAGGGAAAATCTGAGTTTACGTAGGAAGTCAGAGTAAGCGAACGTGAGGATCCTACAACTTCTGATCCATGTGTGCACATTGCAGGGGTGGTTTATTTTGAAGACAGACCCTCTGGGACCCCAAAGTTTTTCCTTTTGCCTATTTTTCTTCCTATAGTAGAAGTCAGAAGTGATGAGGGAAATTATGAAGAAAACCCAGGAGACTATCATAAAAAACCAGGACCAAGTCACTATGATCAGCCAGATCATCCTGGTATTTCTGTATCTGCCTGATAAAGGAAACAAGAGATTCAAGTGGAGAAGCCTGGATTCATTAGCCACCATCTCCATTGGGTTTACAGCCAGCACTAGAACAGAAATGTTAGCTGCTTCAAAAGGGAACAATCTGAACTCTGTTTATTTACCAATCTGGTTTTATCCTGTATAAAACCAATAAAGCTTAACCTACCTGAGCCTGTTCATTTTCTTTTACTCCCCTGCAACAGAGGGATATGTTCTTTCTCCTTTCTTCCTCATGTTAGCAGGCTGGTAGTTCAAATTCCTAACGTAAATACCGTCTCTCCACCTGGACACAACCTTCCACCTAATTAATATAGTTAATTGGGCACAGTAATACTGCAAGGTGGGTGTCCCCCGGGTCTGTAATGGGGAGGAGATTGTATAATCTCACCCTCTGCCCTCCCGTCTGCAGGAGTGCCACGGGCGAAGCCTGGCATGAGATCATGCTGTCGTGCCTGAGTAACAGAGCCTGCGACCCGCTCTCCGGCCTCACCAAAAATGAATGTGGCAGCGATTTTGCCTATTTCTACTTCGTGTCGTTCATCTTCCTGTGCTCCTTCCTGGTAAGTCGGTCCCAATCTCTCCTAAAACGGAGGTGCCGGTGTGATTTCCACTCCGCAGCCTTCCCTCCCCACCTTCTTGTTTTCCCCCTTCTCCCTAGTTATGATTTATACAACATTACAAGACAACTTCACTAAAACCCATTTATCATCCTGGTGATAAAATCCCTTTAATCCCCAAAAGTGATCATTTAGTCATTAGTTTAAAGGGAAGGGTTTTATCTTTCTTCTCACAGGGGTGTCTAATATTTGGAATTAAGCATTAATCTGTTTTGTCTTGATTTGTAACATGGTCCTTTGAAGAAGGGGATTGGGGAAGGCATGGTGTGAATGGCCAAGATAATGTTGGTTCAGAAGTGCTTGCAGCAGGCAGCTGGGAGCATCACATGTATTTGATGCCCTGTGTTCTGTTTTGTTTGTCAAATAAATGCAATTATTGTTTTCTTCTGCAATGGCACCAGGAAAGCTGCAGACATGAAAGCACACAGAGCTGTTACACTTGATCCGTGCCCATCATATGGGGCTGGGTCTAAGCTTTAATATGTGCCAGTGTCTTTCTCATCACTTGCATGCATAAAAAACTCACTGCTCTTGGGGCTTGGTTCACTTTCCTGCACCGCTGGGACAGAGGAATGGAAAACCAGGGACAGGGACCCAATTAAACTTCAAGCAGGAAGAGATGAAAGTCACAGCTCTGCAGTGTACCAAGAAGCAGTGTATCAAGCCTACATTCAGTTCCATGGGTTTTCTTTAAAATACAAGGTTTGATGCTTTGTGCAGCTAATCCTGCTATCATCAGAAGCCTTTAACCAGGAAAAAGAAGGGCACGTGGCAGCTTGATGCTGATTAGAGAGAGACCAACTTCAGTGGCCCCTACCGAGATCCTTTGTCTGACTGCTGTTACCCCTTTGACATCCCATAGTTTATTTCTTCTGCATATATCAAAACATGTGAAGTGCTGACAGCTTATACAAAGTTAATACACCATTTATTTCCTTCAGCACTCTGTATTTTAAAGCCAAATTTTTCCCTTGTACAAATCTCTAACCCAACGTCAGACATTCTCATTCTTATTTTCAAGTGTGTTATTGTTCCTAAAGCTTTTTCTTTAAAAAACAAAACAAAACAAAAACCACACAAACAACACCCTCTCCAGACTCACCCTCCCTGGCTTATATCAGCCATCCCACTCGAAATGCCGTAGCAGAATTGGAGGCTGGAGGACATCTGTGTAAAATAGAGCTTTGCAAGAGCTTTGTCCCTGTATCAGCGCTCCCAGAAAACACTGTGAAACCACAGCCTGGGCTTGCTGGCAGCGAGCGGGGAGAGCCCTCGCGAGGAGCAAAGGCAGGGAGGGCAGGTTCCAAAAATAGGCAGTGGAAAGCCAGGCAGCTGGATGGCTACGGGAAGGACTGTAAGTCATTCCTTAAAGTGCGTTCAGCACTTCTTTGCAATGAAACATGTGGTTCCCCACCAGCTATTAAAGCATTACAGAGCCTCAGCCTTGCCAGGAGGGCACGTTTTTATGGTTTGCTCGATGATGTTACACCATAGGTTGTGGGGGATTGTGGATAAAATGTATTGGGTTTTAAATGTTGTTTCTGGTTCTTTTTGGATGTCCAGCCTGACATAATTTTCCTCCTGTAATTTACACTGTTGAAAAATATAGATTGAGAATTTAAAGTATACAGGAACTTTAGAAACAGCTGTATGCAAGTGAGGGAAAACTGTACTGAGCCGTGGCTGGAGCTAGGAGGAATGGGAAGGGCTTGGGATCAAGCTGTCAGCAGTGTTGCTGCCTCTCGTTGTTCCGGGTGTGCTGCCTTACATGTGGGCTACCTGCAGCACAAGGGTGAGCCCTGCTGATGTGGTCGTATTCCTCTGAGCAGCTCATTGACAGCTGGGTTGGACAGTCCTGTCCAGGACCACCTGGTGCACCGCAGTGAGATGCCAGGGCTTCTCCTGGCTGTGTTGCACATGGACCCTGCAAACCTCCAGGAACCGGATGGCACCGAGTACTTGATTCCCCAAAGCCAGCACAGTAGTTGGATGCCGCGCTGGTTTGAGCTGGCAAGCCCTGAAGGGTTAGAGCCGCAGCAGTGAATGCACACGCGTTGCTGCAGAGGCAGAAGCTGTGTTTGGGGCTGAGCAGGGCTGGTGCGTGCTCAGCTCTGTGCTCCACTGCTTGCCCTCAGGAAGACCTTTCCATGGGTGGTGTAAGACACCCCATTGTCCTAGTGTAAGACATGGATACACTGGGGGATGAGTTCTGCTCCTTCTTTCTGTTGGGGTAGGTTCTTGTCGTGGTTTAACTCCGGC